GAAATGGCGCCCGGCTGGTCGCCTCGCCTGACGGAGTGAGCGCGGGAGTCTCCGCGCGCGACGCCCCCCGAGGCCCACGCCCCACTAAACGGGTCCCACGGCTCCCCCCGGCCCGGGGCGCCGGAATCGGCGGGCATTCAGGCCCCAGCCCGGCCGAGAAACCGCCTCCTACTCCGGATTCGCAACAAAAGCGGCGAAGGAGGCGGGAGGAAGGAAGAGAAAGCCGGCCGCCATTAACCGCCGCAGCCCTGCTGACCGGGCCCGCCCGCAGCCCCGGCCGGCCGGCTCCCAGCCCCAGACCCGGCCCGCGGTTGTGTTGGGAACCTAAAAATAAACCTCGTGCTTGGGAGGGAGGAGCGAGCGCGGCCGGGAGCACAAGCAGCTCGCGGCTGCAAGCGGGAGAGATGCTGCGTCATAGTGCCAACATGGACGCCGGCCTTTTGTCCTTTTTTGCTCAGGAAGCGCAGGCGCGCCCCGAAGTGCCAAAAAGCCGGCTCCGGAGTGCGAGGCCCCAACAATCAAAAAGGAAAGGAGTCCTAGGCCGAGCGGGGATGCTTCCTCATCTATTGGGTCTCCCGATCTCCAAAGCACGTCAAATTCTCCCCACCAAGGCTCAGATCAGGGAAAAGCGAGGGAGACGGGGACAGGCGGTTCCATGCGTGCCCGAGGGTCGCTAGGGAGACCCTCTTCTCGCCTACAGGGCAGTAGGGGCAAAGGGGTCTGAAGAACCTCCCCCCACCCCGGCTGCCAAACATGAAGCTCCAGAAACCTCTCTCCCCTCAGCTCCCAAACATTTGCAGACCGTGGCCTGCTCGGAAAAAGGATTTCCTCGAAGGGGTAAAAGGCACTTTTTTGTATTTACTTACCCGCTCAGCCCGGTGCCATGGAGTCTGGAAGATCAAGCTGGGCGGTGGTTTTGAAGGTGTTATCATAAAAAATATATAGATATGGAGGTTTTTTTTTTTTTTTTTTTTTTGATTGTTTAGTTGGGAAAATTTGGGGAATGGTGTTGCCTTTTTTGTTACCTTTTTGTAAGTTACACTCTCATGGCATTGTCTGCTCCTTCCACTTCTGCAAATTTTCCAGGGTTGGGTTGGCAAAAGGCGGCTTCGCTGAGGACTATTTACTGCTCTGGATATAGCAATGGTGTGATCGTCATTAAGAGACAAAAGGCGAAAATACAGTCAAACAAAAGGCAAAAGACGCACCAGCCATCCCAACCGCCATAGAAAATACCCCGGAGTTAACGTTGGTGTTTGGCTCGGAGCAGCTACGACTTGTTTTCCAGTTTTAATCTAGTTTCCTGTGACGGCTTTAGTTCTTTCTACACAAAGAGGTCTTCCTTCCACCCCCCACCCCCCAACCAAGACGAGAAAAACAGAGCCGTTTTTCTTTAAATAGATCGATTTTCAAAGAAAGTGTACGTTACTGGGAAGAAAGCTGACTAGCATTTATTGCTGTAAACATTTTCAAAAGCTTAAAGCTAAAATTTTAGCTTTAAAAAAGCAAAATCGTCTAAAAGCATTTTTAACTGGCTTATATTACACAAGAGACAAAGACAGACATGCAGATGAAGGTTCAGAAATTAAGGACATCTCAGCAACATTAACATGAAAACTGCACTCATCAGGACAGAATGGATTGGGTACTTACAATGTAAAAGGTTTTTAAAAACTGAAAGAGTAACAACTGCTCACAATATTTTTTGTTGTTGCTGCCATTTCGCTAGTTCTAAGGCTAGACATTTAAAACATTACCTTGTTAAAAAGAGAGCAGAAGGAGTTAATAAGATGGCCAGGTTTAAGTGTTTAATAGAGGAAACTACATATATTAAAAATTTATTGTTCAGTCGAGAATACAGGTTAAGACAGTTCCAAGCTCCCCCCACCCACCCAAGAAAAAAAGAGGAAAAAAAAAATGAAATATGTCATTTACTTAGGTTTTTTGGAATTCAAAATTGTTAACTGCTGACATTAATGGTGTGCTATGACCTAGTTATACAAGACAAAGATGGATTCCAAGTCATAAGGAAAAATCCAGGTCTTTTTAAAAAGTCTTCTTCATTCTTCCAATTGTGAGTCCTTTAGCCTGTTGACAAATGTTAAACAACACACTGAGGCGTCCTGAACGGGATTGTAGAGTCAAAGGAAAAGCATTCCCCATTTGCAACAAAGGAAAAACCCACTTGGCCATTTAATTCCATTGCAGAAAAATGGCTCCCCTCATCTGTTGGCCTCTCCTTGGTGTCTGATGAAGGATGTTTTGAGATCAGCGTCTAATAACTCAAGCTCTATAGAAGCCGCTCGCTGATTGGCCGCCGCGCCCTGCCGCCCTGATCCAGCCAATTACCTACCCATGGCCAAATTACGAACCCCGAAAAGAGCCCCAATATGAAATCCACCACCACGAAGCCCCGGCGAGGCGGCTCCTTCGCCCCGGCCGCCCGAGAACAGAGGCAGAGGGGGCTGCAAACGCGTCCTCGCGAAGCCCCGGAGCCTCGGAGTTGAACTCACAAAATGGAAGCCGCGCGCTGATTGGCCGCCGCCACTCCCGGACCTTTAATAAAGAAAGGGGAAGGAAAAGATAAATGCAAAAAAGGGGGACTCTCTCCTCTGGCTGTGGCTGGAGGAAGAAGGGGGGGGTAGCATGTGTTCAGGACAATTATAGGGCGCTCCCCTCCAAAAATAATAACAGAGAGAAGCTTCTATCACCCGGGTCCAGGCGAGGGCCGTATCCTCCCAGGAATGCGAATGCTAATTTGGTTCAAATCCTGGTTTCCTCTCCCCAGCTCCGCTCCAGCGGGGAGGGGGTCGCGGGGCAGAAGAGGAAGCCGGAGCGCAGATCCCTCGATTGCAACTCCGCTGGAGTCGACGTCTACTCCCCCCACGGTTGTCAACGTCCAAACACACAATCACTCCCTCCCCACCCAAAAAAAAACCCAGCCCTGTCCCCCGAGTCCACACGCGCCCACCTCCGGCGCTGGCAGTTTGGAAACAGTTTTGGAGGCCCGAGGCGCTCGCCGGGGCGGCCGCGGCTCCGAGGGTAGCCCCGGCCACGGGAGGTAGAGCCCGGGGACACCCCCTCCCCCGCCAGCCTAGCCCCCCACCTAAGTCCCAGCAGAATAAATAAATTAAAAGGCCTTCCCCCGGGGAGGGGGGAGGCAGTGTGGGAGCGCGCGAGTGAGGAGTGGGGGGCCGCTGGGGCCCGGGGCTTTGGCGGCGCAGCTGCCGCCGCCGGGAGAGTGCCTGGGAAAGCGGCGAAGAAGGCGAGGGGAGGAGGAAGAGGAGGAGGAGGAGGAGGAAGAGGAGGAGGGTGAGCGCTCGGGTCGGGCTCCTTAGCGGTGTATTGTGGGATGTGCGGCGACTGGGAGCCGAGCCTCCGCCGCCAGCCGCCTCCCGGGCAGCAGCAGCAGCGGCAGAGGCAGCGGCAGCGGCGGCGGCAGCAGCTCCGGG